ACGGTCACCAAATGCTTCGGTTCACGCTACCAGCTTTGTTAAATAGAATCAGTAAAGAGCAGCTTTTTAGCATTCCGGAAATCTCATTTAAAGGACTACGAAGACTTTTCACCACAATGTCCTTATCAGGAACATGCCTCATAAACAACGCCGTCTATTTATTTTTCGTTTCTCGCTGTTTTACAAAGGGAATTATTTATTTATTTATTTATTTATTTATTTATTACGTTTCTTTATTATGTTTATGGAAGCACGCTACTCTTTTGCATCAAGGATATTATCGTACAGCGGCAACCACCCGGTTTTTGCTATGCAGGGCAATTCAGCATATGTTTAGCTCCATGGTACATGTTCTGTTAGATAAAAATGTGTGTATATTATTTTAGGCCATTGTAATATTCAGCAAGAGCCGTTAAATTTGCTGTTTTCATACTGAACCTTGTGATTAACTGCTATAAAATCTGCTTGTGTACTCTCTTTTGTAAAAACGAGTTTACTGTACGAGAGAAGACTTGATTACAACTGCAGTTGTTCTCCGTGGAGGGCACCCAGTCATTCGTTTTCGCGTTTTTTTTCTTATTTCTGTATACTTTTATAGTTTTATGTATTTTTAATTTTGTCCAGTACATGACGTAATTGATTTCAGTCGCTGTAAGAAACATATGCTGAAAAGAGTGGTATGGATCAAGAGCAAATAAATAGCCTTATATTTTTTTATATTGGTTTATGACTAATTCATGTGTTTTAATAAGCTGCCATCATCCTTGTCGACAGACTATCTTTAGTACGCATTGTACGTATGAGCCAAACAATATCATAGGTATTATAATTCACCGGCGTAGCCAGTAGGGGACATTTCTGATGGAGGCGGAAATGTTGTAGGCCCGTGTACTCAGATTTGGGTGCACGTTAAAGAACCCCAGGTGGTCGAAATTTCCAGAGCCCTCCACTACGGCGTCTCTCATAATCATATGGTGGTTTTGGGACGTTAAACCCTTCCTATCAATCAATCAATTAGCCAGTAGGGGAGGCGGGGGAACGCGTATATAAATTGGCCCGCTCCCCCCCCCCCCCTCCAAACCGACCTTTTTCGGTTTTGTATGTGCACATCACGCCTGCGCACACAAACGTTCGCACGAACATAAAGAGTGTTTTAACCTCCTAACTAGACAAAAAAGTACTGACTGCGCCCCTGTTGGATTTCTATCCTTCCCGCTTGACGTACATTCTATCACCTAAAGTGGCATTCCGTTATGAACAGTTGCGGAGCTTTGTACGCTTGTCTACGTAATAGTACGCAGGATATTTACGAAAGCTAGCGCCATCTTTCGGGCAAAAAAAAACTTTTTGGCGCACCTTCGTTCGCGCTACTTTAGATAGGTGGGGTGACCTACCTCGCTACCTTATGCTTGCTCATTTTTCTACTGGAGCACAAGCTACGGTACGAAGCGGGCTCACAGGTGCAGGTGTGGCGTTTAAAATGACTCGGTGCTACCAGGTGCCACTTCAACGGAAGGAGCAAGTTGACGTAGAGAGAAAAACGCGCACTGAAAGGGCATCGCGGTCGGTCGACACCTGAGCCACCCTACCTGGGCTGCGCTTCTCGGCTGGTCAAAAGAATGGCGCCCAGTTTATTGGTGCTGTCATTTCAGCTGTTGAAAAATCAGTTGATGCGCACAAAGATTTCGCTATCTCGCGATGAAGCGGTGCTCATTTTCGTTACCCTAGTGAACAGAAATAAATAAATAAATAAATAAATAAATAGACTTCAATACAGCGGCGAAAGCGTCTATGAAGTTTCCAGACAGTACAGTTCTATGAGACTCCCCCCCCCCCCCCCACTCCTTCTAGCGCTGCCACACACACACACACACACACACACACACACACACACACATGTAGCTATTTATACCAGTGTACATCGCCCACAAATATTTAGGTAACTACAGAAGCCACAAAACGTCAAAATCAGAAAACGCAGAGCAGTAGAAACTCGAGGTGAGAATGCGCCGTGGTGGTGTAGTGCTTATTGTGCTTGGTGATCCCAAGGATGCGGGATTGAATGCCGGCCACCATGGTCTCATTTTCAATGGAGGTCAAAACGCATGAGGCTTGAGTACTTAGGTTTAGCTTCCTGTTAAAACCATAGGCTTTTGCAATTTCCGGACCCTCTACTACAGCGTTCCTTATATAAATGTATGGAACGTAAAACCCCACCAATCATTAAATTGGATGGGAGGAGAATAAACGGCAATCTAGATGCTTCACGTGCATCAATTCTGGCACGAGCTTACTGGTAATGCACCGGAACGTCAAATAGGGAAATCGTTCCCGGGATAGGTGAGCAGCTTGGCTTTCTCGGAAAGGCAAATTGGGAAATCGTTCCCGGGCTAGGTGAGCAGCTTGGCTTTCTCGGAAAGGCCTGGAAGTAGCCCAACTGTCACAAGTTGCAGCATGTATATATAGCAGAAGTGTGTGGAAACGTTACATAACAAAACGCGTGCAACACGCCGGGCTTTGCTGGTCTTTTTCTGGCACATTAATGAGAGCGGACTGGAAACATGCTTGCGGCGAATTGTGAGCGCGCAGCGTAGTCATTACATAATCGCCGAAGCCGCGTGCTTCGGTTGCGTCATGATTCGTAAATAGACACCAAGGTAACAGCTATGCCTTACTTTTCCGAATTAAGCACCACGACAGCATGACGAAAAATACACGTGCACTCTTAGCGAGTGCATATAATGTCGAGAATGATATAATAATCATTAGCGCGATAACACACAACCGAGTAGCCAACTATACACAGAGTATCATATACTGATATACATAAGGGAAATCTGGCGCTAGTGTCTATGGGAGCTGCGGGGCATGATGCTTCAGCCAGGGTGGGAATAACGGGTAGGACATGTATTTGCGCATGATTCGTTGATTCAGCTCCTCGTGTCCTGCTGCCACTTTGTCTCAAGGATTCCACGAAGTTCAGCAAACGTTCAGAAATTACACTTCAGGATCAAGTTCAGATATCCACTATTTATCCGAAGCGAAATTCAAAACACGGCAATGAACAATGCCACAAGTTCGTTTGAAGCTGCAGGTAGGCAAATTCGCGTACTGTGAGTTCTTCCTTTGGTGACGCAACAATCGCTGCACCACGGTTCTCCCTGTAATGATAATTTAATTAGCTGCGCTTCGCGGACATAAATACAACAGTCAAGTTGGTGGCGTTACATCCTTCGTCAGGCTGTAAGGCATGTTCATGTTTTGCAAGCCTTTCAGATATATTGCATCACTGTTCTTCATTAAAAGACTCTTTGTTAAGCTGTGAGCAGATAGTCTATAGTTTTACTGCATGCATGTTGCGAGTTTGTGTGAACGCCTCTGACTTGCGGTGAAGTTTTACACGCTTCAGGGAATTCACTGTCTATCTCTCCCTTTCTCTTTTCCTTCTCTTCCCTCCTCCTTTTTATTGTCCCCTACCCTAATTCCCCACTGTAGGGTAGCCAAGTGGATGTCTTCCTGGTTATAACCTCCCAGCCTTCTCTTTTTGTCTGCCTCCTTTCTTCCTGACCTTATACAGAAATTTACACTCTTACTTACCAACACTTTTTGTCAAGCTTTGAGGTGACATTGTAATCACCACCTTTCACAGCCACAAAATGCCATCGTTTATAACATACTGTTACTCTGGTAACGCACACGCCATTTTCTCGGCTGTTGTTAGTGTAAGTTGTTTCTGTTGCGTGATTTGCCCGATTTCTGTAGTACACAGACGCTCATCATGATTATAGTTTCCTGATATATTCCCAGAGAAGGCAAGCAAGGTTAGGGGGAAGACAGAAGGTTAGGTGGGCAGATGAGATTAAGGAGCTTGCGGGTATAAATTGGCAGCAGCAAGCACAGCACCAGGGTTAACTGGCGGAACATGGGAGAATGCCTTTGTCCTGCAGTGGACGTAGTCAGGCTGATGATGATGATGATGATGATGATGATGATGATGATGATGATGATGATGATGATGATGATGCCACACAGATTCTCGTTGCACATACCAGTTGGTTGGCCTTACTTTCGCGTTCATCTTTAGTGAACCAGTGCTGAGTGGTGGGATTCAGCCAGCGTATGTGGCGAATACCCGTCGATGATGCCCACAAACGTTACCACGGACCACGGACATGAAAGGGTTGGCTGAAAACAGCTTCATGCTATATGAAAATCCACGCTATCAAGTAATGCTCGCTTATCTTCCTGCAGCTCTTTCGTTTACCACCGCGTAGTCATACTATCTTTACACGAGCTGTGGTCTGCCACGAATTTTAGTGCATATTCAAAGACCTATACTGCATCTCTAGCCGCAGATGCAAGTTGTGATTTTGTTGTGATTTTGTCGTGACCTGCCAAGAGCATTTGCGAAACAAAAGAAAAAAAAGTAAGGTTTGTAAATTAGAATTGCCCTGAACGTTCTGTAATCTGAGCTTGGTAAGTTATGGTGTTGCCAGACGTTCCTTTAGTCCATGATTGCCGTACTACCGGTTTCGGGAATACACCTGAGGCACTAAGTTATATCTTCTGCGTAGAGCATAACCCGGTGATGACATTAGCCATATTTCACAACTATAGAAGGCCAATAAGTGCATATGAATGAAAATAATGTTGTGCCCATGAAATAGATTATCTGCAAGCTTTCCCTGCTCCTGCAGAAGACGGGATCGTTATAAATAATTGTGGGAGTATATTCGCGAGAGCATTTCAAAACAAACCGTGTCACCAAAGTTTTTCTCCCACTCTCTCTTTGTCTATGAGTTCGCATTTTTCTTCAGGCATTTGTTATCTGTGTCACCCGGCACTTTTTCATTGACGCTTTCCTGGTTTGTTACAGAGGACAATCCTCAACTTACCAATCCTGTCGCAATTTCGTGTCCATTGCCTTCGGGTTCCTCTTAAGTCCTCTCCGTCATGACAATCTCGACCACAACCGAAAACAGGAGACAAATGACAGAACGACATGAGTTCAAGCATTCTTTATTGCGATTCAACGTCACGTTTTGTCCAGAATATTAAAAAAAGAAGTATACGAAAACCGTAAGCAGTTTTCTGCTTCCGAGCTCACTCATTTTCTAGAACTGGCAGTAACTATTACACACGTACACAAAGGCAGTGATGGCGCTGCTTGATCATTTCTACCCGCCGTCTAACACTTTCTACTCGGCCATATAGAAATCGATTTGATCGCAGCATTTATGCTCCATTTCACGATAGCAAACTAATGCAGTCAAAGGAACGAAGCGTGCTCAAGTGCTTGAGAACGCGTACGTTGTGATAGCGCTTAGCGATACGTGCGTTCGCCTTCTCTCAATTATTGACGTCATCTGTCCACTTCAGTTGCCGCATTATTGCCATACATAGTACACATATGCATGAATTCACAGCAATTGCCGTGCTTCGACTTGCTTCGCGGTCTCAATATCGTAATAATCATTATAATCTACCTCTATTCAAGCCAACACAGCGATGCCAGCTACGGATGGTTTTGAATCGACTTGACCCCGGACCATTTTGTGTGCAGAAGATACTAGGACTTTGGGCATCTGCCTCAGTTGCGCAGAAAGCAACTAAAGCACTGCTACTTTACCTTAAGTCAACAAACCTGAGCGACCGCCTGTGAACTGTGTGTGCTCACCGAGTGTGCTCGTGATTGTGCGTACCTTCTCATCTTTCTGCAACCTCTTTTCTCCCCTTTATCCCTTCCCCAGTGCAGGGTAGCAAACCAGATGTGCGTCTGGTTAACCTCCCTGCCTTTCCTTGTATCTTTATCTCTCTCTATTCAAGCCAACCCGTCACCCCATGTACAAAAATAGTCCCCTTACCTTAACGCTACCCGGCAAATGTGGTAGAAAATCTTTATGCAGTCGATGTTTTCACATCACGCTATTTTTTTTTTTCATTCCTTTAAGGCACACATGTATTCTCGGAAGAACTCACCTCGATTGAGGCACGATTGTGGACGGTATATAATCAGCACACAAATATGCAATAAATAATTCTTTCTCTTAGACACTCTGAACTCTGCGCTTGAGTTACGAATACACTGTAAGAATAAGTTCTTTCACTAGCATCCCATTTCGTTTTTAATATACATAGGACGCCTCCGTCATCGACATCGGAATTCCCACTGCATTTTTCGCGCCCGTTGTTAATTCTGCGACCAAGTGCTGTCTTTGAAACCTGTATTGAAAACTAGGCCTGTACCGCTTAATTCAGCGTACTGGAGAGTCGCGAAAGTTCTTTGGACATCTTGTACACTAAGTTAATCAGTCAATAGAAGTAATACGCATTACCAGTAATAGTCTGACAGGTCAATCCTCCATAATCGTGGGTAAAAAAAATGGCTGATCCACGAGTTTGAAATCTATGTGGACAACTGTCACGTATCGGGAACGCACAGAGTGTCTTCAGTGACAGGATGGTGTGGTCGTCATATTAATTTTTTTATGTTTTCAGGTAAGTAAAAAAGAAATGCAGGTGGGATCAGTCGCAGAGCACACGTGTAGCTCACTACTACAAAACTTTCAACTGATGAGCACGTGATGTGCCTCTCTAAGCACTTGTTTTCTTTCTATCTTTTTTTTGAAAATGAAGAAGAATAACAATGCCCACGATGTGTCAAAAAAAAAACATTCGACGTAAGTTTTTTTCTGGCTTCTTTGAGCCACGTCTACTAGCGATAAAGTTACACAGAAATGTGGTAAAAAAACAAAATAATTTCAAGACGGTACTGGTGTATAGGTACATATAGCTACGGCTACTTCAAGTGCACATCGTTGCGTAAATGAAGGGTATACGATCTTGTGACGTAATGTGTGACCATGACTGAGCTGTTGGCTGCAGTCTCAGCGTGAGTCATGGCGTAAACAAAGATGCGAGCGTAATCCATTCCGTGCTGTCGGGTGATTTCTGGAACACGACGTTCACTGTTGTGCTAGGCCGCTGTTTTGTCTGTAAGAAAAAAACAAAGACAACAACACGAAGGTGTAGAGCCGGTATAGACTCGCCGTTTTCGTCCCGAACTAAATCCATCAAAGCATACAAGCGAGGTGGAAGCAGCCGGGGATTAGCGTAAGCTGTAATGGTTACGCCGCGTGGAAGAGGAAAGAAGGTGGCGCTAAGTCTGCTACGAAGTCTAAGTGGCAAGAAATCAAGTGGGAAGGGATATTTAAAAAAAAAGGAAACGAGAAGCAGAGCTCTCCGCACACAGTCTGATAATGAAGGACGCGCAAACTGTCGCTGCATGTCTTTGAAGCCGAAGAGAGCAAGCTGTACCAACCGATTTATTTTCACCTTCTGTTCTGTCAAGTTCGTTCAATGACGAGCAGCCCGCAATATGTCCCCAAGCGCCTCAATTTAGCCCACCACCAGAACAGCCTGGAGCTATTTATGTGTAGGCAAAGCGTCTGGTGGAGCGCACCTTCATAGAGGGAAGAGGCAAGCTGTGCAGGACATTTTACCGCACCATTTACCGCACCTTACCGCACCATTAGCACCACAGTTCGGAAGCCATCGTGTTTACTAGTTGTTAATCGCAGTTTTATTTACAATACGGTTATTGGGGGATTACGAGATTGTTCGAATGTCCATCGCTGCTCGAACAGTTTTATATTTGATATCGGACCTTTCCATGATTATCAAGTGCGCTTCTTGCACTGCATATTTGATCAAGCAATGGCAGCACCTGCCATGCACCTGGCAGCACCTGTCATCAAAACCCCCTCAACTCCCCTCTAACTACGGCTCAGATGCCGAAGTATGCAGCTTGTAGATGTGCAAGCAACATACTTGAGCAGAGTGCACATCTTGTGCCTGTTGAATAGACTGTTCATGTGTTCTTTGAGTCTTGAACAAGACAGCGATTAATATCGTACTTTATTGACAAAAGTTTGCGGCTTTACAGCACTCATAAAAAATGGAAAAGAAAAAACTGTGGATAGGTAAAAAAAAAGACGCTGGCTTTGTGTATTTCTGCTCGAATCGGTGTCTCTTTTTTCTTTTTTGCCTTAATACAATGAAAACAAAACATGCTTTTGCTCGCACACTTTCTGCATTTCTGCTTGTAAGGTGTGGCAAAGTGCCTATCCGTTTGCAAGCATTCTGGACGTCTCTGCGAGCTTGCAGGAAATGGGGAAAAAGAAATACCTATAGGTATACAGCCCCCGTAGCAGAAGAGAAACTCGAAGAAAGTATTGTCTCCTCCGTGAACAATGAATGGGAACACCTGATAAGATCACACCACGAAACGACTGTTCCGATTCTAAACTTCATTACGTGTGAACGAATACAAACATAATGAGGTTGTTAATCCGTCAATGCCGCATTATAAGCGTCGCATCAGCGCCATTCATCCGTGCGGTTCATTTTGAATGTTTCCGCTGTGTGTATGCATGGCAGGTCATTCCGTAAGCGATATAGCACGCACGAGTACATGGCCGTTTTCTGAGGAAGGCATTACGTAACATTTAGTGCCGCTATTGTTAAACGGAGGGTGTGCTCGGTGAGGTCTAGCCAGAGCACGCCTTTAAATAACGGCCTTCAACACGTTTATGCTCTCGTTTTCATTCTACATTCTGTTTCCTTTCTCTCATTCTTGTCTCTTTGTAGGGTTGCCAACCGGATGTTGCACACACCATGCGGTCTTTCGTTGTCTTATTTCCAACATTATTTGTTATTTGTTATTCAACACATGACATCAATGATGGCTCGGGACAGATATATATACTCCGTAAAGCACAGGATGTCGAGTCCGTTTTGACACCGTACACGGCACGCATCGACGAATTCCTGCAATAAGCGCGAGGTACATTAGCCGCTTAATCTATGCATGTTGATGCGGCCACAAGTAGTGTCAATTCGAATGTTCGTTCTGGTAGCAAATAACCTTTTTTTTTTCTTTGCGTCGCCCCTTCGGGAATATTCAGGAGCTTCGTGGTAGTACACTACTTTAACCGATTGGGTGGCTTTAAAAGAAATATTATAACACGGCATAGTTCAGTGCTTTCCCAGTAATGGGCAAGCTGGATCACAATGTGCTAAGGTTAAAGCGTAAAATGAATTAATAGTTGTTGGTGCCGTAGTTTTAGTGACAGAGCATGTGTCGCGCTGGTTTTGTACGAATGTTTTCTATAGTAGTGAATTATAGTACCATGGTCGTTGCGTAAGTAAGAACACCGCATTTGGAACGGTACAGATTATAGCCAAAAGAGAGAAACGAGAAAAAATGAAGGCAGGCAGGTTAACCCACATTAGCCAAAGGTTCTGCACTTGCTTGTGTTCTGCCGTGAGGTAAGATGTATTGCTCATTGTACCACGTCCAAAATTTCTGGGGATGTATTCTGCATTTTTACCGTGGTAAAAGCAAGGATTACAAATATATGTGAATCTGAAAACGAACATAAGTGTACTCAGAGGCGGGCACGACAAGAGACATGCAATGTTAGAACCTACATATTTGTGAAAGCATTTTGGTCAGCATTGCAGAGAGAAGGAACGTGAGAGGTGCTATTGAATAATGTGAATATTGCATATAGGCTGGTGACATTAAGGCCCTTAGAAAATTTATTGCACTATTTTACGCATTCAGTGCAAAGTGAGCGATTTTGTAAGGTTGTGCTCAAGTAAATGGCAGCATCTGACAGCATCTACAACCACGAGAGATCATCCTCAGATTTTTTTTTCTTCTTTGCTTCTTTCATGCATGTATTTTCGCTCCTAAATTTTATTTTATTTTGTTTTACTTGGAACATTACCTGCAGCGCCATCTTAGACATTATTGCAGGGGGCACAGTGCCTCATAGAATGAATCCGCAGTATTGCGGCCAACTAAATCAGCTGGTAACGTATTCCATTCGACAATGGCTTGCGGAAAAAAATAATGCTCAACAGATCCGTTCTGGGGTTGTATCGCCGCGCTTTAAATTTGTTGTCATGACGAAAGGAATGATAGTGCTATGGTTTTAAATATTCTGAAAGATTAATGGCTGTTTTCTTATTATAGATTAAAATATAGCATGTCCGGCTATGATGATGCACAAAGTGAATTAGAGAATGATGAAATTATCGCTTTATTGAGTGGGGGATGTCACATGACTAGGAAGCTGGTTCGTTTGGGCATGGCTCTGTACAGCTATTTCACTTTCTCTTCGCTAACGTTCCCTGCAGGCACTCCCGGTGATGCTATGTTTGCATTTGTTCCTTTGTTGTCCGCAATGTGATAAACTGCCGAGTGAAGACCAACTGTGTACACGCCTGTGTTGCCGGTGCTCTCACCTACAGCAGAAAAGAAAGAACGAGTGCAGAAAAAAAAGAGAGAGCTACAATTCAAGTTAATGGCAGAGAGAAGCAGGAGCTAAGAGAAATCACGCTTGTTTTTGTGTGTGGTTTCATCACTATTACGAATGTGGTCACTTAAGTCTAGAAAAGGTTCAGTGATTTTTTAACAAGGAAAGACCTCGCGTAAAATACTGTAGGCTGTACGGACTTGACTTGCCATATTCAAGTGTGTGCTTTGACTCGGGGATTGCTGAAGTGCGTCGAGTGAAGCACCGCCTTTCAGCAGAAGATACTGCGCTTTAGTAATTGCAATATCTGGGATAGGACGTCGTGCAATGCGCATATCGGAGGACATGCAACCACAACGCTGAAGAATGTGTACCAATAGTTTTTTTTTTTTTTAGATATGCATCTTCACTCTTGGGAATTCTCGGCTGAACACTGGTGCTACGCTGTCACAATGTTTCCTTACGACAATCGCCATGGGTTGTCAACGAAGCGAAGCTATTGCTTTACTCGAAGAGTGACGCTGCTGTCGAGTTCTACCTTCTTGAGACTGCATGTCGTGTCCATAGTATTCCAACGCTATGGAATACAAGTGATACTGTTGTTGGAGATAGAAATCCCTGCCGCTTACATATAGAAAAGCCAATGTTACTGCGTGTGGAAGGAAATGAGAGCGCAGTATAAGCGATTAAGCACACGTGTCATGCGCGTACGGGAACTATGGAATACTGACCGGCTCTGGGCGCCAGTGGTAGCAGATTGACCCCCTCGGGTCCGTCTCTGGACTGTGGCTTCGAGATGTGCATGCCGATGCACAGCACGTACAGCCAGGTGCCGATCAGGCCACCCAGGTGAGGCACGAACATCGGAATCCACCAGAAGTTGCGGAACCTGCGTTGGGTAGCACCCGTCAGCACTCACTTTGCCAAGTCTCCACACGAGACACGTGACAAAGTTGGCAACCTATAGCGCACCTTCTATACGGTACATGTGCAATGAAAGTGTAGGGCAACCCACACAGACCCTTGGCCCATACAGCAGCGATGTATAGCATCTGGCATAGTCGTACTTGGCATGCAAGTGATTCCGTTATGCTTTCTTAAACTTAATTTTTAGTGCCCCTTAAGCAGGCTTATATTTGTGCAAAAGTTTAAGTTTCCGTGAAAATACTGAGAGGCATGACCTCACGATTCTGGCATGGAAGCAGCCAGTGGCGAGCCGAGGGCCCCAGCGGGTCCTTCTAGGTTACTCAGGACTTTATTAAAGCTATTTGCCTGTCTGCCAAAACCACGTAAGAATTCGCATAAAAAAGCCAACTGAGTGATATGGCCCTACCAACCAAATTCTTTTTACTTCGTCTTACTTCTTTCTAGAGAGAGAGAGAGAGAGAGAGAGAGAGAGAGAGAGAGAGAGAGAAGACTTTACTGAACACAATGGGCTGGCAATTTGGTCTCAGTAGCTTTAGGTGGCGGCTCATGGTCTCTGGACTCGAGCTGCATCCTCGGCCTGCCGGACGACCCAGGGCTGGTCGTTCAACTCAGTTTTCTTTTTTTTTACTCTATGTAACTGTATCCCTTTACAGTTACATAGAGTTTATAAAATGCACAAACGTGTTCATAAGAAATAAAATTTGGTTTCTTGCGCCAGAATGCCTTTCACATCTATATGAGAACACAGTGAACCGGGTGTATGACTTTTGATATAGTAACGTCTACTAGGATTGAAGTACTTAAGTCAACTCACGTGAACGATTCGGCGCCGTATCCAACGATCGCGCTAAGCACGCGCGCCGGGAAGTCCCTGGCAGGGTTGACAGCGCCCATGCAGTTTGCTCCGTAGGCCCAGCAGAGGGCCACCACCATGATGCCGATGAGGAAGGCGTGCATTCCTTTGGTCGTGTTCGCGTTGCGGTCGTCCAGGATCACCATGATGGTGAACATCAGAAGGCCCGAGCAGATGATCTGCGGATACGATCGAAGCACCACGTGAGCTGCGTCTACACCAGTCGCCGAGGGCACTCTCGTCACAAAATTTCCCCATTTATGCTTCACTTTTAGTGCAGCGATGTGTATAAGATAAAGATCAAACAGATGATTGATCAATCGATCAATTGATTGATTGATTGATTGATTGATTGATTGATTGATTGATTTCGGCTCCGTCTAAAGCCAACTTCAGATACTCCTAAGAGAACCGTATCCCTGATGCTAAGAAACAGTACATCATAACCGCTCAGGGTAAGGAGTAAGCTGTAAATAAGAACAAGAAGCAATAATATATACAGTCATGTTTGTTCATAGCAAGATCGTGATAAAATTCCGGCAAATCGCTTCAATGTAAATCTTGACTCGAGACCTTGGTAGGGATATCAACGCAGCTTTTCGCAGTCGTGTTTTTAAATGCGAAGCATTTCTTGGTGAACTTCGGCGACATTGAGCATATCTATCTATCGATCTATCTATCTATCTATCTATCTATCTATCTATCTATCTATCTATCTATCTATCTATCTATCTATCTATCTATCTATCGATCCGCTTACGTTTGGGTGCTCTCGTGGTCACCCTCTTAACTTCGCGTGATTCAAAATTAGCATGGGAGGGTAAGATGGTCTGACGAATATGAGGCGCTGGTCAAGACATGAATAATGTCACAATCCTGTCGCGTACGTCGTCAAACACTTCCCGCCAAACAGTGGTCCATACCTGCGAGCGGGTATGTGCAGCTGGTATGCGGGTATGTGCCACAGGTGATTGACACTTAATCTAACCAGGAACGACGAGAACACACATGGGCAATTTTAACGTTCGAGCGTTAAGAAATAAACGACATCGGTAGCGTTGACCCGACGAATCCAAAAAATAGTTGTCAGGATACCAGATGGAATCGAACCCAAGCATTCTGAGTGGCAATGAAGAATTTTCCCACAGAGCTACGCCAGGTCTCGGAACTCTTTTTCAAATAGACTAATCTACGTGAAACGTCAATAGTGGTTGCAGTGCTGCCTACCCAATTTTATAAACATTACATAAGTATTCCTTTATACAGCCATCACGTCGAGTTGATGTCAATTGTGATTAGTTGCTATGCGCTGAACTTGATTTATGTAGCAGTGTTTAGGGCCAGCATCGTCGCGAGCATCAGTGCTTCATACCAGCTCCTGGTGTTGCTAATATGCATTTTCCAGTTGGCAACTATGCGCAGATGCAAACAATGGTTATATAAACATCAACAACTCTTCAACGTATGTCTGTGCGTGTAAGATTTGTACATATATTTAGCGCTATTTCATGACGTGTCGCTCAATAAAAAAAAAACTTGTAACACGGCCACCTTTTCTCCACACAAGTTCTTCGCACAACGTCGATTCCCCGGGTGTATGATATCTGCCGAACTTTTTCTTAGCGAAGTCGAACCTATAATAAAAGCAGGCGTAATTGTAAGAATGTGCGTAAACAAAGCTCGTCTGTTCGCCGGAAGTGAGAACAAACATGCTATTCGTGAATAAACGGTATTCCTTCGACATTTGCCTTGAAGGCTGCCCGATATATGGAGCGGCGTTCCTTCGTTGTTTTCATTGACGCGAACTACAACACGCTAAATCCACTGTATAGTTCTCCAAAACAGCGGCTCAACTACATACGCGCTCAGGCCGGAGTGTTTTTCTGTCCACCGTACAAGGCCGAGGCCCCACTTGGTACGAAGGGCAAGGGCACCGTGCATGAGGGACTGCGGGGTCAAGTGGTCTGCATCGCGATCGCGATGCGGCAGGACGGAGGACGCGGCTAAAAGCGGTAGCCGCGGCCCTCCGCATTCTTCTCCGACAACTAGGGCGCGTCAACTGGAGCTTGGCACTCTGCCAACGCCCCCTCGTTGTTAGGGATGAAAAGTACGTATACAAACAAGGCTGTAGGCCGGATCATTCAAGTTCGAAGAAGCGAGCCAAGGTTGTCGCACTTTACGCCGTTTTCGCCATCCCCGGATTGTGGAAATTCAATTGATGCCTGCACCGTCTGCAAAGGAGGTCCACATGTTGACTTTGAACTCCGTCAATCGCTACGCAGACAGTTTCGACGTCACAGAAAGCACAAACAGGGCACGCTAAAGAAGGCGTCCGTTACAGCTAGGCTTACACGAACGTGAAAATTTAAGTGTAAGCTCTGGTAATTAATTCGACCCTACATTCAGCACACGTGAACTCACGGGCTCGACTTCCTTCTGTGGTGGTGGTTATATTTAACACGGGACTTCACTCACTCGCTAACTGCGAGCTGAAAAGCTTTTGTTCTACGTCGTCGTTCATGCTGTGGAGTTACATTACAGTAAGGCATGAACTTCGAGTATGCCGTTGCCACATTTACCTCGATTCACCTGAAGTAACATGCATCATAGCGTGTCGCCGTGTGCAACCCAGGTTTCGATAAATGTATTCTGATCTATCTGAGTGGGGCAGAAGTTGTGCCCGTAAGAATAAGTGGGGTCATTCCTTTTGATCTCATATCAGAAAGCAACAGTACTTTCATTTTAGCATTCACTGTATGCACATGAACGTGAGCGTTTGGTTGCTAAGTAAAGCAAAAGACTAGAAGCAAAAGTTGGGCTAGTTGGCGCTTCATGCTTCGAATGTAAAAACAACAAAAAATAAATAACTGAGAAAGAGAGAGAGAGAGAGAGAGAGAGAGAGAGAGAGAGAGAGAGAGAGAGAGAGAGAGAGAGAGAGAGAGAGAGAAGGACTGAGTTTGCCCTAGCGTCTTGTCGACAACAGCACCTTGTGATCTCTTCTTCAGTCCTTGTCTTTGTTTTTGCGCTGTTTTTTTCATCCCAGGCATGAAGCAAAAGCTAAAATCGTTGATTAATTCCCGTAACAGAAGGTCTCGAGAAAGAGAAGAAAGCATTTTAGGGATTTCACTTTTCCTTACTTTTCTTCGTTACGATGCGCTTCAGCCGTCAAGCTCCGTTTTGATTAACTTTACACCGAGTGAAAACACTATTAAAACACTTAGTATTATACTGCCCTGCATATGATGTTCGTTTGAGTGTCCTTACTGAGCCTACCGTAAATCAATAAATAAACTGTATTTAATGAAACGAAATGCATTGCATCCCACGTTGAGACATAGAGGGAAAACACCTGTGACGCATGCGCCATCTCGCTCACCGTGTCGAAGACGCACACGGATAGGTGCACGTTGTCGTTCGGGTACGTGGTGAGCAGGATGCCGGTGCCGTTCTTGCCGAAGATTTGGCGCTCGCCGCCATCAACACTGTCCAAGAGGTCTGCGCACAACACGGGCACATACGTTGCTAAAACACTGTGCCTGCCTTTTGGGATTGTGTTTAAGGAGGACTGACATTTTAACGTGTTGGCATGAGTGTGTTATTATTTAGAAAACGGCACAAGGGAAAAAGGTGAAACGTGTTTTGTGTTCGTGTGGCTAGAGTCTATTCTTCTTTTTTGTCGCACCATTTTCGAAATTTCAGTCGGAAGAACCTCTGCGCAGAGGAAAAATAAAGTATATGCACAGGAACCACAGGTGTGGCTTAGGATGTTTCAAGAGTTTTAAAAAAAGTTTACTAAACTCGATATGTAGCAGCGTGTCTCAAAGCTACCAAGTGTGGAGGTCCAAATTTCCCACTGCACGTCTGCGATAACAATAACAAAAGTGTAGACATAAGTGTGGTAGTCTGGGTTTGAGATTCCATCCTACTTTAGATGGCAGTAGCCGAACCCTTTTCACTACGGGAGATAAAAGCTATATATCTGGCATAAATGACTTCAGTTGATTGTTGATGTTTCTTCTTCTGGTTACTTCCCTTGCTCTACGGCGGCACGTCTGCTGTGTTCGCTCTTTGAACACCCATGATGTTCCGCTTTAACCATTCGCATTTAGAATGTCAAAGCTCGATGTGCACTGAATGGTTGTGGAGCTGATCATCTCGTGTTAATGTCATCAAAACATAAGCTTAAGTTGCAGAAAATATTTGCTAGCTAAACAATTTTGTGGTTGTACGCTTCAGTGAATCTTCTAAACACTGAATTCTGACTCGTGGGATCGAAGAACAATGTGATTGGAACGTCGGCTATATTAACTAAGGTTTAGTTGCACTATAGTTTGCTCAATGGGCATTATTTCCTATCTTCTCCATTTTCTCAAGGCGATCTTAAGGCAGCGCTGAGATGTCACTGGTATCGCCTTCAAATATATTAGGTACTAATTCAAGAATACGGAGGGCTTTTTTTATTGCGCTTTTCACCAAACATATGATTTCTCTAACGACCTCTGCTATCACTTAACCTCCCTTTTCGTCAAGATGTTTTTCACAGAAAAATTGGAGAACCTGACTCTCCCGTGAAAGAAACATATAAAATCACATAACAAAAAATGTAAGTGTTTTAAATAACAAGAAGCACGTCGTACTGGCACCGGTGACAAGACTACAATGACGATACAGTGACTGTGAGGTGTGTAACTTTATGTGTGTGTGCTCCGCCACCTCTGTCTCTTCAAACTCCATCATCCATTCTTCCAGTTTAGGGATGAATTTAAATAAACGCACCAGTTTGTTTAGAATGGTCAACATCCCTGCCTTTCAACTCATCTGTTCATTCCTTCTTTCAATGGTTCCAGCAACCTCCTCCAACATTATCTGGCTCGACGTGAAACATTCCATCTCGTGTATATGATTGAATTTCTGGGCTGTATAATTTCTTAAGACAAGATTCCCGCGCATTCTAAACGCTACATGTGTGTCCGGCAAAGTGAAGGTCTGACGCAATAAACGTCCAACTACGCAGAGCATACGTGACCGGAATGAACGAAGCCCCGAATCGGCATCTTCCGTCTTCTCTGCTCGCCCATTGATCCTCCTTACTCAAGTTAACGCGCCCTACACAGACGCTGCTGTAAGACAGTACACTTTCTTAGTTTGTTCTGCGTTCTTTCGTTTTATTTTCGTCGTCCTTTGACACGTGACTTGGAGAGGAATTTTTTTTTCTCATTTCTTCATCGACGCGCAGCAAGGCTGGTTCATTTTTCACGTGTAAGCAACTTCGCTCGCAAATAAGCTTTTTTTTGCCAGTGCATTCCACGCGCTTAAGAAATGCCAATTTAAACTACGCAGGCACAAGTCTCAGCAACAGAAGCGATAAACGCCTCGGGGAAACCCGAAGCCTTAAGCCGGGACGTGGATGATTTCTTGGTTCTTCTAAATTACAATTCTTATATGATTGATTTATATGCGGGGTTTAACGTCCCAAAACCACCATATGAGAGACGCCGTAGTGGAGGGCTCCGGAAATTTCGACCACCTGGAGTTCTTTAACGTGCGCCCAAATCTGAGCACACGGGCCTACAACATTTCCGCCTCCATCGGATATAATTCTTATATGTTCCACTCGGTTGCGACTCAAACGACAGCTGTGTTCGAAGATTGTTTAAAGCCTCTTGTGTTGACACATGAAATGCCCGAGAATGACAAGTTACGCTTTTTGGATTTAAAACTGGTTTTTAGCTCACAGCACATCTGTTGGTGTTATGAACCACGTGCGCAGAAACCTTTACTTCCTTTTTCTTCTGCTCACAGCAAGTTAGTTAAGCGATAGCATGAACCTGTCTTGAGAATGCCTTAAATAGGTCGTGCGCCCACAATATCTCTGCGAGCTTCAAAGCAGGCACAAGCTCGAGAAGCAGCCAAGCTACGTGTGCGTGCTTTTCTTTATAGCCATCATTTGAGAAGGGATGAAAGCTTGGACCTCGAGAACAGACTAGAAGGCATGTGAAGTTCACGTTCCGGTGTGTTCTAACCGTAAGCCGCTGCGTACTGTTGCTGGAAAGATAGTTTACATGCATTTAAAAATACATACAGTAGTGCTTGCGTGAAAATTGTCTCGCAAGTGCCAGAGACTAGTAGTGTAGGCTCAAAATGAAATAAGATGGTGGCAGCCGGGCTACCACAGCTAACGATTTCTCAAGTAAATGTAGCTCGAAGCGTGTCACACTTCAATAACTACAAAATGTTTCAAGTTCCGCTTACTATAAAAACAAGTAATAGCGTATGCGATAACAAGACAACATGCGCCATCGAAGGACACATCTAAAAGTGGCTAACGATTTTGTCACGGTTTAACAAGTGTGTGGCAAGTGTTTAGCAATGTAACGAACGTGTAACAAGTGTGCGAACAAAGTACGCATCGACAAGCTGATAAGTGAACTTGACGCGTCACTGCAGGATCTTGCTTTGGTGGTCTTTTGTTTGGACGAAAACGGCACACGTAGCGGACAAGTGCGTCGTACCAATGTAGTTGAAGTAGAGGATGGCCGAAGCGAGGAAGGCTCCCAGGTGCTGCCCAAGAATGTAGTGCGGCACCTTTCGCCAGGGCAGCTTGCCGACGCTGGCGAACGATGTAGTTACAATCGGGTTCACGTGACCACCTGCGTGAAGACATATGGAAATACAGGGTGTCATACAGCAGGCCTTGTGAGAAAGAGAACATGAGAGAGAGGGAAAAGAGAGGGAAATCAGAGCCTGAGTCTATACAAGTTCTCTGTCTACCCAGTGTGGCATTTTACCTGTATGTACTCCACAATAGGTCATGTGGTCATCATCATCATCATCATTTTCAGTCTATTGATGTCCACTGCAGAACGAGGGCCTCTCTCTCCCGATGATATCCAGGTCACCATATCATGTGCGAGCTTATTCAACATTTTGCCTCCATTTTTGTTTCAGAGAACCTCTTAGTTTCTTCGCTCTATTTCACTCTCTACCTTCCAAGACTGAGCTTCCCATCCCTTGGTAACCATTAGGTTGCTCTTATAGCACACCGGTTGTCTGTTTTACGCATTACGTGGCCAATGTCGATATCTTGCGCTTAATGTCAACCACAATATCCGCTACACTGTTCGTTCCCAGACTCATTATGCTGAACTCCAATCTCTTCACCACTTTTCCAAGTAGTCATAAAATGGACTCAATAAAAGAGCTTATTGCCTCACGAATCCACTGGCGCAAAAAAATTATTAGAATCTGTCCAGTACGAGCGGAGTCACAAAGATTTCTTGCACGCTGCATTTACATTCTCTCTTCTCTCGTCCCGATGAAAGCACTGGAAGCTAAGCAGGCAAGGATGACAGGGGCAAAGAAAATACGTCACGCTTACCTTGTGACCTTGAGCACACTCTTATCTTTTTTTTATTGAATATGCGGTTTTTCAGTGCGATCGCGCGCCCACTCGTAGACAAGTCGCGGCCTCTCGCGTTGGGTTCCATTAACTATCGAGCGCGCCATGCTCAAATAAGCCAATGGCTGATACAATGGTTGTGACGAGTGATTTTTAAGCTTGTTCCGTCGTTTTTTTTTTTTTTGAGGGAAAAAAGAGGAAAGAAGATGTTTGTTTCCTCTGTTTTTTCCCTCCTCCAGAAAGAGTGAGCAGGTGTTGTGCCCCTCTAGGTGACAGTTGCCAGCTTACTATCTCCCTCTTTCCTATGTATTTTGTGTATCTGTGTATGCAAATCAGATAATAATAAATTATAACTTCGAAAGAAGAGAAAGTAATTTTTGGCTAACTTTGTGAATATATTTTGAAGACCATGACCACGTGCTGCACTATAATATTTGGCCAACGTGTTCTATAGGGAGCCTCGACTGCCGATTTGCAGCGTTTTCTGGCCATGCTCAAAAACTGTTGCAGGGCCCCTTTTCAAATGTTTCCCATCTCCCCCACAAGCAAACCTCTTCGAGCAAAAGCTTCAAACAAACGCGTTTCAGTAAAAATCTTGAGTACATATAAGGCCATTAAGACAGCTTGCGCTGTGAATGTAGCAAGCTTTTCCTGGGTACGGCTGTACATCCTTATTAGCTCCACAGTGTTTAGTAATGGTTTTACGCAAGCGAATTGCGCGAACATGCAAAGGCATGCAGTGTCAGACCTACACGCGAGCCGCCCACAGTTATCCAAGGCAGTTGTGCAATTGCGGACGCCTATGCGTGAAGGGACAGCAGCCTGGCTACTCCGTCTCTATTAACAGTTTCATGTTTCGTCTCGGTTTCCTTTAAATGTACTTAAAGGCCGACCACGTGGTCGATCCGAGTGAAGCGTAACGTTTGCTCATTGTTTGAATGTGCGCAGCAAAAAAAAAATAAATGACCTCTCGTAGACCAAGCTTCCCCGAGTGTGGAGCAATCCTAATGCAGACGTCCTTGGAGAGAGTGATTGGGTAATCATTGTCGCGGATGGTGGCTCGCCCGCAAGGTAAGCGCTGGACTTCCCGTTTCATGAGACAATGGCCATGACTTACGTGGCGTTACATATAGTTACACAAATCCCGTGCTGGAGTTGTAAGCTGAAGGCAAGAACAATTACGTTCGCACTCGCCATAGATGATGCACTGATTTGCTTTCTCGGTACTCATAGTTAATATGACGCTTCGAGCAGCTGTTGTGTTATACGCGGAATGGCATGAGTTCACAAAAACGCTGAATTTCTCTGAACTGCGAATTGAACTGCAACTAATTAAAGCGGATAATACAAAGCAATTGCGCTTGCGATATTGTGCTGTAATTGAAAGCGCGTGCTTTCAATTACAATAAACACGAACTGATAAATCTCAGAGCTCTCGAACGGACTCAAACAACATTTACAGTGTAAATAGAAAAATTAGCTTATGACGGATGCCAAAAAGAATCAGTCACTAAAAAAAATTCATGAGCCTTTGTCATATCAGGAAAATAGATTCAAGCGAAGCTTTACGTCTACGTGCAGGTATGCTTCCTTCTTCTTTCCGTTTACTTTCTTTCTTTCTTGTCTTTCTTTCTTCATTCTTTCTATCTTCTTTCTTTCTTCTTCTTTCCTTCTTTAGCTGTTCTCTTCTTCTTTCGTTCTTTTCTTTCTTTTTCTTTCTTTCTTTTCTCCACTTGCATTGTGCAGGCTCTTTTCCTAATTTTTTTCCCCTATGCTAATCATTTGACCGTGATTCACGTGCTTAGCAGCGCAACACTTTTGTTGCTACAGGCAACAACGACAGCTGCGCGAGATACAATGGAATGCGACAGTAAAATGTGAATGCAACAGGAATGCAGCAGTGAAGTGTAGATAAAAATATCAAATTGGTATATCTCAGAAACGGCAGATCACCGACAAGCCGATCGTCGAGAGAGCATCAGTTATTGAGAAACGGTGCGTATTCAAATACGCGCGCATATGACCGGCGCTCCATGGATCCATTGCCGCATTTCAGAACACTAGCCAAGCGCCAGGCTTTTCGCGCGCAATGCCACCGAAGCCTGTCACTCACAAAAGCTGCTCCCGCGTGTTTCGGCTTCGAGGCGTCTTGTCGTCGGGTTGATGACGCAAATATCGCTTTCCCCGTGGCGCTGGAAGAAGTATCGTAATGGGCGAGACGCAAGAGGCGTCACGTATCCCAGCGCCCAATTGAGCTCGACTCCGAAGTCGCGCCTTTTTCTTCCTCGTGCAGCCTCGAGCTGAGTTCGAGTGACGCTTTCCCCGGAAAGTCTCGGAAATGCGACGTATTCATAATGACAGCGTCGCAAGCAGGTTGACGGTTGGCTAGTACGCCCATTTTGCTACTGCCTTTCAAATTTTGGTGTTACGACATCTTCGCAACACCTCTTTTGCATGTCTTAATAAAAGCTCATGAACAGTGTTTACGTCTCGTACCTTGTCTACGCCCTCTGACTGTTCAATAATGAAATTGCGTCAAGTTATTGTAATTAATTCGTTTAGAATAATGAGTTACGCTATAAGTTACTTTCGTAGGCTGGCAATTTAGCATTGTAATTCCAAGCAACCTGCTCATTACTTCGTTTTATCTATGCATTTTCGGCTGAAATATACGATGTCCGTTTCCCTTACGAACGAAGAATGACCAAAAACGGGAAAGAAAATAGCAGGGACAAGTTAATTTTAGTGACAGACCTCGTGCATGAGAAGCTGAACAAAGATATGCGAGATTTCAACCTATAAGTTGCGCAAATGTTATTTGGTGTATACAATAGTAGCTGCATGAATGAGAATTAACTTTTGTTGAAGCAATTCCAATCATAATTTCAGCACTTTAAATGTAATGTCCTTATTTCTGCTTGACTCAACTTAATTACATTTATTATGTCTCGCAAAGTGACTTCTAATCTAATTGTTTTTGGAGAAACTTCGATATTTCTTATTCCAACTATTATACGGTTTCGTAGCTCCTCAACTTGTAAACGGGAGCGCTTTCGTGGTCCGTAACATGCACCTGGTGCTTTGACAGGAACAGATTACGTTCGACAACTCCGAGCTCTTTTGTGTATGTCGTTCTCTGATTTGCGTGCTATTTGTGTGCGTTTGTGTTCGCTGTATATAACATAATTATCAGCCAACAGCTGTAATATGAAGTCACGCGATCACATACAAACTAGCATATAAAGCATGTCGGTATTTCTCCCTCTCCCTCCCTCTTTTTTCTTTTTTTGTTTATTTTTTTCTTTCTTTCTTTGCTTGGTATGTGCGTCAAACGTTCAGCGTATTATATTGTACCTCGATCTCAGGTGTGCAATGTCTTGCGTAGTTCGTTCGCATGACCTGTTCCGAAATCGCAGCCTATGTGCACATTATCACCTCAGTCAGGTACGCTAACTACTAACACATCTGCTTACTTCTTTCGCACGAGACAGCTTTCACTGTAAACTTCTCTTTTTCAGGGAACGGTAGGATTTATCACCTAATTGGTACAGGCGACACCTTGGAAGACGTTTTACTCGGGACTTCGTCCTTCCTTTAGCCGTCAGAAGAGCGTCCGTCTAAGCTGCTTCTGACTTCGCCTACCCTGCACTTATCAGCGAGTTCGAAATGCCGCGTCACAGAACGCGACAGTGGCGCCCTTTATTCGCTGTTTCTGAATCAGCAAAGCAGAGGTGCTCGACTGCACGAACACATTCCGCAAAGGAAAAAAAGCGCAGTGAGTGCCTTTTCCTGCGCTTATTGCCCGATCATCTGCTCACTGCCCATTTTACTTTCCTCGATGCCCATGCACTCCGCTTAGTCGTATGTGTACCAACAGCGTTATCGAGAAAGAGAGACATGATGAGAGAGGAGGAGAAAAACGGAAAGACAGGGAGGTTCGTAGAGGTGGTTAAATAAACATTATAGAGGGAACTCTGGCGCTATAGTGTCTATGGGAGCTGCGACGTACGGCGCTTCAGCGAGCATGGGAACGATAGATAGTACACGAACTTGTATAACCTTCGTTATTCTGGCTCCATGTGTGTTCGTAAGGCTTAGAACAGTTCTGTCACCAAACAAAAATCAGCAAACGTTCAGCGGATGCGCTTCACCACCTAAATCTTTTAGGCTTACCATTTCAAATCGGGTCACAAAGTTCAATGGGGTCGCTTTTTTTTTCTTCAAAACGAAACCAAAACACATCAATAAACG